TCATTAAATATTTATGATAACTCTTTTTTAATATTTGCAATCTCTTAAGTTGATGGCACTTAATAATTATCAACTAATGTTTTGAATATGCTACGTATCCTTTATTTAGATGATGTCTCATTTCCATCTTCAGAATCCATCAAATACATACTTAATTGATGGGCTTATTGATAATTTAATTTAAAGATAGACTTTTGTATGGATTCAACTAAATCTTTTAATTGAATATCATCATCTTATAAAATTGAACAGAATAAATGCTAAATTATTATATGAAGTATTACTTAATCGATATCATTAAGATTTATTTAATTAATTAGTAATTAATATTTCAGTATTTTAATGACTTATTAAAGATCTTATTTTGTTATTAAAACTAATTTCTTTCTATGAGTTGCACTTTATGATCTTTAAGATGAAAGAACAAAATCTTAATTTAATTTAAAATTTCCACTTATATTTGCAAATGAAGATGGTTTGAATAAAGGTGTATTTTTACTATTTTTTCTATTTCTCTATTCAGATAATCCTTAATGATCTTCAATCATTATTTTATTGATATTTTCTATTTTTATTCTTAACGTTAAAATTTCCTCTTCTTTTTCCATAATAATCTTCTCATATTTATCTTATTAATTTTATAAATTTGACATAAGATTATCTATTTATGATTATTAATTTTGGCTTGATTGACTCAATTTATTAATCTCAGTTGTTAATTTTTAAATTACATTATCTTACTTATTTTATTAAGTAACTTTATTAGCAAAAATAGTGTCTCTATCTTTATACTATCTAATTTCTAATTGTAATTAGAGAATTAATTTTTATTAGTTCTAAATTTTACTTTAAAATATAGTATTTTATTTTTTAATCGAATCAAAGCCTTTCAATTTTTCTTCAAGGGCAGTTACTATTTAAACAAGTCGAATATTGTCTTCTTCCAAATTTCTCAAGATATTAGTTTTAGTTGGTATGATAATTTCAGTTTCACTATTGAGCAATTTCTACTTTTGTATTTCACATAATGCTCTTAATTTTTACAATTATTCTTATTGTTCATTCAATTAATCTACTTTCAATAGTTTCTTGAGTTAATCAATTTCTGTTTCCTTTTGTTATAGTGTCTTCAAAAGCTATTTAATTTTGACCTACTATTAAAGAGGAACAGAAATGTTATCAGATTCTTAACATTATGATTATAAACTATCGAGTTCTTTCTTAATTAAATACTTTATACCTGATAATACATTAATTAAGATTTAACTTGTTTAAGCTCAATTCTAAGTAGATTATTCTCCTTTTTTAACTTTTAAATCTGATCAATGTAATCTTCTTTATCAACGTATGACATTCTACTCATAGAATCTCCTCGACTTATTTAAATGTTATTGCTTAGTATTTTATTATTTCTTAGTTTGTTTGGATCAGCTTATAAAGAAGTTATGGAAAAAGATTTCTTGCCATGTTTACAAGATTAAATTTCATGAGAAGTTTAATTATTATTCATTATAAAAATAAATGAAAGCAATACTAGTATTATCTATTTCATTAATCACATTGAACTCTTAATTTATAAAGACATCCACTTTCAATTTGGTAAGGCCATGATTTAATTAATCAAAGTGTGATGCAAGTGTTTACTTAAGACCTGATATATATTATGTATAAGGAAGTGCATCAACAAACGTAGAGCCCACTTAAGCAGTAGTAACTTTGGAAGTTGAAGTAAAAGATGAAAAGGCTCAAAATGCCCTTCAATAGGCAGCCTAAATAGCTGACGATGCTGTCAAGTAAATAATAGACTTAATAGGTTAGAGCTATCAAAGAGAACTGTAAAGGATAATTGAAGATTCAAACAGCCGATTTTGCTATTTCACCACATAAAGAGTACAGCTAGAGCAAACCTTACTATGAGACATTTTCAGGCTTTAAAGTATTAAATAAGATAACAGTAGAAACTCTGAATACAAGTGATGTTGGAAAGTAAAGATATTGTATATAATTTTAGGATCATTGACACAGCAGTGAAAAATAAGGTAAATCAAGTTAATGGGATACAATTCGATGTGAGCAAAGAAGAGAAGAAAAGATTGAAGGATGTATTAATTGAATAAGCTATTGAAGATGCTAAACATACAGTAATAAGTTTAAATTATATTAGGCAAATGTTGTGTTGAAAGAATTAAATATGAAAATTGAATCTATCAAGTCTGTTCAAATAATAGAGAATTATAGATATGGAGCTAAAACTCAAATGGAATAATAAGTGAATGTAGGATTTGTAATTAGACCAATAGATTATTGACACATCATACATAAAATATTATTAATTAATTTCACTATTTTTAGTTATTAATCAATTCAAAAATAAAATTTGTAGAATCAATTTCTGATTGTCTCCTAATAATAGGAATTTTAAATAATATCACTAAAATTAGTAAATAAGAGTTCCTTCAATTTTTGTTATTTGAGTTATTATTTAATATAAAAAATGATTAGAATTTTAACTATTGCAATATGTATTACTATTATTTTTGGATCATTCGTCAAAGAATAATAAGCAATCAATAATATTGAAGTAATTTTTATTGAAATTCATTTTTTTTCAGTGTACTTACGTGGAATACAAAAGACCAGAAATATTTTATGTTACAGGAACAGGATCTCTAAGCATTGAACCTACAATAGCCTCTGTCAATTTTGCAATAGAGATTTAAAATGAACTTGCAGAAGTAGCTTTGAATACTGCCAATAAAATATAAACGTAAGCATTTAAGTAAAAACATCATAAAAATTTAATAGATCATTGCAATCAGTTGACACAACAAATGCTGGAGTGAAGATTTCCACTACTTAATTTTAGATGTTCCCTCATTCAGAATATGATTATCCTTATAATGGAAATGCTTAATTAAAATTCTAGGGATATAAAGTAATCATTAGCTAAAAATTGGAAACCCCTAATTTGAAAATAGTTGGAAAATTGATTGATGCTGCCATCAATGCAGGAGTAACTACAATTAATAATGTTTCCTTTGATATCAAACCAGAATAAAAGTCTGAATTAAAAGATTAAATTCTCTAATTAGCTATCAAAGATGCAACAAATAAAGTATGTCTACTAATTAAATTCGATAGGCTGAAATTACATTAAAAGCTTTGGATATGAAAATTCATTCCATTAAAAGTATTTCCATCGATTAATCATATGCACCAAGACCTGTATATGAAGATCAAGCAGTAATGAAGGAAGTACTTATTGGTGCTGCTCCAACTAAAATCTTTGCTTAAGAATAAAACTTATAACATTCAGTCACTGTAGGATTTATCATTGTTCCTATTGATCAATGAATATTCTATAATATCAATCACATAATTTATTAATATTAACGCTCTATTATTCAATAGATTATGAATTTAACAATAAAAACTGTTTATTATTCTTTAATCTAAAATCTTTATCTTTAAAAAATATATTGTTAAGCTGATTTAATTACCTCACAAATTTTATTTAAATAATTAAATTTTGTATTTCTCATATTATGGTCGAATCTATCTTACTCCTTATTTTTAAATCAAAATCTTAAGTTTTCAAAAAATGAAGCAATACACAAAAGATGTATTTCAAAAATAATATATATATTTATTAATAGTATCTATTTCACCATATAAATCCATTCTAATTTTATAAATTTTAATCCGAACTAATTTATTAGTTTCGATTATTAACTTAAATATTAAATCCAATTACATAAGAATTAAATTCAATTTAAATAAAAAAGTTCTATAACTTTTTTTAGAACATATTAAATCATTGATTTTAAAAAGTAACAATTATTCAAATAGATTAAATTGAACTCAAAAAAAATATTATGCAAGACTTGATTATGGATAATTAAATTTCGTACTTATAATGAACTATTATTTTAAAATATTACAAAACTTCTTTATATTCAATTAAAATAAAAAGTATACTAATAAATATACAATTATGATATTAATTTAAGATCAAATCTAATAATGATATTTCATCACTTTTCTTATGATTTAGATTAACTTTAACCAAAAAAATGACTCTTTTTTATTTTTATTAAATTATTTAAAATTAAATAAAAATATTAATTAAGTTATCATGAATTCACCTCTAAAAGAACTAGAATAAATTTAATTAAGATAAATAGAATAAGGATATTATTAGAATGATACTGAATAAATTAAATAGATTTTAAATTCAATAAAGATGATTGCCTTTGAAAACATATATAAAAAAAATATTGAACAACCTACAATAATAAATAAAAATTCTAAATGTTAGAATGATGATGAAATTGCTTAATTTTATAGAAATTAATATAAATCAATCGACATTGTAGAAAGATCTAATTTAAGATCAAGAATGATTAATTAAAAACTTAATGAATATTAAAGTAGAAATACTCCAAAAAATATGAAAATGGGTTTACCTTTACTTAAAAATAGTGAAAATTAAACATGTAAGACTACAAAGGCTGTTATTGCTCCTTATACAGAGAGAGTCAAATTTGTTAAGACTAAAATTTTATTAAATAAAACAATGCAATAGACTTTCAATGATTTTAGTTAATAATGGATAAAAAATGAGAATTAGAATTCTCCTTTGATAATTAAGAATGATTAAAAAATTAAGAAAGGATAATCTATATTTTTAGATGAAGTCACCAGTAGAGCACAATCAATTATTGAATCTGCAACCATCAATAAAAAATTTAAGTAAACATTTTAAGATTCTTGTGATATATATACATAAAATAACTTAAGGGATTAGTAATTGGCAACAACTTAAATTTAATTAGGTAATCTATCATTTTAAGTACCAAAATGCAATAAATTTATAGTCGATTAAGAAATGAGAATATTAAGAAGTAGAATAGGAAATAGAATGAAGCCTAATATACTTGTAATTGATTAAAGAAGAATGTAGGTATGAATTGATTTTGTTAACTAATTTAATTTTTTTTATGTCTTTGACTTTTATAAACTTGGAAGACAGTCCAGATAAACCAAAACCATTTGGTTTAGCTAGTGGAATGATAGAAGACTTTTTACATAATCCATTGGAAATGTTGAGAACTCTAAAATGTGATAAAATAAGCGGCAGTTGGGATTTGGAAAAAATAAGAGAGATTCTAAATAAAATAAATGATCTTGCCTTTTAAAATAATGTTAGTCATGATATTATAAAACCACGGAAAATATCTTTAGAAAATTAGAAATTAATTGATTAAGTTGATGACTTTGATAAACTATATAGTTCATTTAGGCATTCTTAAAAATATGATAATAAATCTGAAAGGATACAAAAAGTTATTAAAGACTTCAAAAATCGAGTGATATATAGATCAGTTAGACCTTCATCAGTTTAACCTAAGACAATAGAATAACCTAAGAAATGTAAATTAATGAGCAAGGAGTTTGAATAAAAATTAAATAATATAAATGAAAAATATGGTATGAAAGGAAGTTAAATGACAGTAAAAAGTAAATATATGAATCATTATTCATTAAATACAAACAATTAATAAACAAATACAGAATGTATAAGACCTTAGACTACAACATGTTCAGCAAGAAAAACGTATTCATTTCGTAGAGAAAAAACATTTGATTTGGATTAGAAATTTTAACATAATATTAGAACAAGTAGATTAAGAGCATAATCAGGTCATTAAGTATAGAATTTTGAATTAGAAAAATAGAATTAATCAATTATTGCAAGGATAATGAAAAAATCAGAGGTAAGATTACATTAAAAAGTAAATTTAAAGAAATATGATCTAGAAAATCATGATATCTAACCTACATTCATGTTGGATGATAGTGATTCTTAAACTAAAAGATTAATGAGATGTATAGATTTTAATCCACTTAATTCAATTTAATAAGAATATCGAAATTTTATGCCTAATGATGAAGATTTCATTGTGAAATTAAGTTTTTAATAAATTCAATCAAAAGAAAAGAGATAAAATAAATAAAAATAAAAAGTATTTTATGCCAAAGCATAAAGCAATTATATTTAAGATCCAATTTGATAATGTATTTACTTTATTTTCTAACACTTTTTTGTTTCAATAAAATAATAATAATTTATTACATATATTTGTTCTGTATTAAACAATTATGATTTTAAAGAAATATAATTCATATGATCAATATTTATTATCTGATATTTAATATATAATTCATCCTGTTTTGAAGAGCATGATGGCCAGTTATCCAATATAAAAATATATATAATGTTTTGTTTCATGAGTTACATATGATCCAAAGTTTCTTCCTACAATACAATGCCATGTTCCATGATATTTTGCTCTTAATTCATCCTTAATATATGATGCAATTTATTGATCCTACTATTACATATTCTTATACAGTTGAACTCTTATCTATTGCTTATCTGGAAACTTCTATAACTTCTCTTTACATTTCATCACTCATATCAATTTACTTAATGACAGGCTATAATTTATCGAAAGACATTGGAAATATAAATTATATTAATATTACTTTTATGATATAAAGAAGCTCATTTATAACATTTCTTTATAATATAAAAAATACTCAAATTAATAATGTAACACCTTCTAATTCTTTACATACATTAATTTAACAAGATAGACGAACTCTTAAATTATTTCTATTAATAAATACCTTCCACCCTTTCCTTCAGTTGTCAATACATTGATTTCTTCTTAACTTTGAGGTTAAGCAATCTAAATGTTATTAAAATCATTAGAATTAGCTAATAAAATTGAACAAGTAGAACATGAACATGAAAATCCACACTCAAAAGGTAATGGTACTTTATGTCTTTTTAATTCCTTTGCTAAAATTTCACCTTCTATTGCATTTATAGTAAGTTTAATCTGTGGATTGATTTCACTTTGAACATAAAAACAAATATTTTTTGAGAATTTAAAGAAATTATGAATTCTTTACATTAATTTATTAAATATATTCTAAAAAGAAAATGATAAATAATTCAATCTCTTAAAGATTGAACATAAAAAAATAAATTAATCAAGTTTCAATTGATGGACTTTAATCTATTTATTCTGTACTATCACTTTGAATAACATATGTTTCAGTTGTGATTTCTTAAGATTCTGATTACACTACTTATTTTGCTTTTCTCTACCAGAATATAACTAAAGCAAATATGTAGGGAAGAAAGAAAGAAAGGAATTTATCTAATAAATCCAGACTTGAATTTAAGAGATTTGTCAATTCTTCATCATTTGGAAACTAAATTTATTATATATGAGTTTTTACATTGACATACAAACATGTATATTTCATACCATTTGTATGATATATTTAATTCATTATCACAAAATAAATATTCTAAGTAAAACTAACAAATGAACCTATTATATTAACAATCAAGAGCAACCTCAATATTTAGAATTTATACCAAATTTATTTTAATCTCTTCTTTACAACTTCAGTAAATTATTAAATTTCTCCACCTTAATCTTATTTAATATTTTTATGCACTTATCTAGTTAATTATCTAATTTATAAAAAAAATAATCCTTAAAGTAAGAATCCTACTGTTGTTATTATATTAAAAAACTAGGCTAATTAATAATTAAAAATTAAACCTTAGCATAAATGATAATCATTCATATTCATAAAGTAGTCTACATAATTTAAGATAAAAATTGCTGAAATAAAGAAAACCAATCCATTGAACATCAATTAAGCTAATTTTATTTGCATTGTAGCTGATATTGATAATGCTTCATCTGATCCATTAAAAGAGGCAATCAATATAGATTTTCTTCCAAAATAGTAGATACTGTAACTGATAAACATAAATTGAAAATATGGAATGGGAAAATACAAAGCATCAACTCTATTACTTAATTGAAATGCCAAATAAACTAATATATATTAACATTTTACAAGTAATATCAACTATTAATATGGCAAAAATTATTTATTTCCTTGTCAATTGTTTATTGTACTAAGGTTTTCTTTAAATGATTATTAAATAAATGGAACATATTAAAATCATAAATGCCATAATTAATTTAAGTAGAAATCCTAATTATTTAATGAGTGTACGTAACACACCAATCTAAAATTTCATTACTTTATCTTGTTAAACAACCAAATAGTTCTTCAATTCCTGATTAAGATGTCATTAATATTAATAAAATATTTATATAAAATATTATATTATAATATATTTTTACATGATGTAATTATAAAATTTATTCATATCTATAAAATAATCTAGTAATTAAAAAATTTATTTAATATTAATTATATTTTAACTTCATTTGAGTTGTTATTATATAAATTAATATTATTCTATAAATATTTAAATATGAATAAGAATTAAGATCAACAACTTATATTAATATTTATACAATAAATTCATATAATGAAAGTTAAATCAATAATTGAAACTGGATATTCTTTTACTTGAATATATGTATTTTTAATAGTTAATATAACACTTATGAAATACCTATCATATAGTAATATATTTATACTGCATCATAGAAATGTTCGGCAAATTGTGTTTTTGGATGAAATAACAATACAAAGAATATAAACTTAATGAAATGATAATAGGGTAAGTAATATAATATCCAATAAAAGTAATCATCCAATAAATGAACAATCATAACAATAACCCAATATGATAACCATTATTTAGCATTTCTATAATCTAAACATATATAAATATATGAGATATATTACTCTAAGTTTCAATGACTTCTAAAGTCATTATGAATGGATAAACTAATGTCATAATTTTAATAAAGAATCCTCTTCCAATTCCTAATATTATACAAGCTAATCCTAATAACACAACAATGAAAGCAATATATGAAGGACGAGATATTTTAAATTTCCTTGCATATAATTTAAGAAAAGGGATTTCATCACAAGAATCCAAACCAAAAGTTGTTATCAATTAATCTAACTACATTTTTAATATTAAAATATATATATATATATTATCAATAATTTGTTATAATATTAAAGCCTCTATTTTTTTCAGGTGTTTTCCTTCTCTTACGTACATAATCAACAGATAGCATAGTATATGGAACTTCTTTCTTAGGAAATCTTTTATCTTCTAATTTTTCGAGATGTTTCAATTATAGCATAGATTTATTGTTCAATTTTCTTTTAGTATCTTTAAATGAACTATTCATACTAGTATTTTATGTCTATTTATAATTATCTAATTCTTTTTATTTTGGAGTAGTTATTACACTAATATCATAATTGACTTTTTAATCTCTTATTTAGGATTGATTTAATTTTTAATTTTGAAGATTTTCTAATTATTCAAATTATTATTTCATATTTTGATTATCTTTTTTTAATGAAGATCTTTCAAATGAAATCTCATCAATAGCATTTATTATATTTTCATTAAATTTAGGTGAATTTAAATTATCTTATTATATAGATGATAATATAGATGATTATTATCTAATACCTAAATTAAAATTATTCTTTGATTATGTATCTTAATTTGAAGGTAAAGTTTAACATGATTTATGAATACTTTTTAATTGATGATCAAAGAATTAGGCTTATGAAATTATTTTAGTCCTTATTGGTGATACAATATCCTTAATTATTTTAGTGACTCTATCAACATCTTTAATATTAGTAGGTGATGTAGATTCATTAATTTAACTTTATTCATCTTCTTAATTCTATAAATATTTAACGATAAACTTCAATGAAATTTAAAGTAGTTTTTCATAATCCATTCTATTCAATAATTCATGTATGTATTATTCTGATACAAAATACTTTCTAAATAATTTTGGTCTTAAAGCAACCAATTAATAACAATATTTTCTTATCTTTTCATTTCTATTTTAAATAGGTACACATTCAAAGATTTTTGAAGAATTTGTTGTTTATATTCTATTCTTTTTTAACAATTAATATTTACATTGATATTTCTCATTTCTTCTCTTATTATAATCATCTCATCAACTAGATGTTTTTTATTCATTTTAATTAATTTATTTATTTATTTATATCATTATAAATGAACATAATCATATTCAATATTCTACTCTCGAATAGTATGGTCGCATATATATTTTATCATTCTGATTGTATGAAACAGCTCTCCTTGTCCTTGATAAATTTTGATGTTCCATAATTGTCTATGGAATGCATTATACCTCCTTTTATATTGGTATTTCTCTGTAAACATTAATTGATTAAGAATAAACTGGTATTTCTTAATATATAGGCACTTTCTAATATATTGGTGCATCTCTATAGACAGGGACATCATAATATATAGGTACATCTTTATATATTGGAATATCTTTGTAAACTTTAACTTCCTTTTGCACTGCAACTTCTTTATAAACCGGTACTTCTTTGTTAACAGTGACTTCTTTATATTAAGGTATATATATTGGAATTTCTTTAGTATTAATTTAATATGGTTTTTCTACTTCTTTTATTACTTCTTTAATGACTTCAAAAGGTTTTATTACTTCTTTAATCACATCTCTAGGTACTTCAACGATTTTTGGAATTTCCTTATATTCAACTTCCTTTACTATTTTTTCTTTTCTCTTTCTTTTTTATAATTCCTCATATCTAACTGCAAGTTCGTGATATTTTATTTTACTATTTTTTATTTCTTCTTATAATCTAGCATTTTATATTTTTAAATAGTCATCGTTAGGTAATTAAATTGGTTGTTATTTTAATGCAGCTAGCATAGTAATAAATTCATTGTTATCTTTTGGCTTTTCCTATTCAGGAACACTTATATGATATTCTTATACTGAAGAAGGTTAATCTTCAATCTTAACTTACCTTATGAGCTATTCTAATATATCAACTTCCCTTTAAATATTTGAATGTGGTTATTCTATATTTTATCTTTATTTTTTTATTGGCATTTAAACTTAAATTTCTTCTGAAACTTCTTTAAAATATTTCTTCTTTTTCGAACTCGATTTTTTTACATTAACTGGTTATTCTTAGACTATAACATAAGGCTGATAACTAATTGTATTATATGATTAGGAGGGAGGACATATTGGATGATAATGTTAAGAATGTGCTTTGGTATATCTCACTCTTGAGACTTCCTTTTATTGATATTATTTTAAAGGAACTTGAACTTAGATAAATGCTTGTCTTAATTCATCAATGCTTTTTAATAAATGATTGCTATGAATTTAAGTCATTATATATATTTTTATTTAAATGTGAATAATAAAATTTATTTAATATTTGTTACACTCTTAAAAACTTAATTGTAATACTTAGATAATTATTATTGTTATAATTTAAACTATATTACAAAAGAATTATAAAAAAAAAAAGAAATATCTAACTAAATTAATTTAATAATTGTAAATCTTAGAGAGAACTTATTAGATAACCTTAAAACGTATTCTTTTTTTTTCTATTTTATTCCAAATACAAACACAAAGAGTATAAATAAATAACTAAAAGAGACTTTCTTTAATTAATAGTTTCTTCTAATTTCACTAAAAATAATTTAGTAATTTTAAAGTGAGATTAAATATATCTAAACAATTTTTATAGTTAAATTGTTCATTGAATAGAGAATAAATACAAGAGTTTGATTAAAATTAATATTTAAGAATTAATAATTTTATTATTAATTTTATAATAAGATTATCATACAATTTAAAAATATGGATGTCATTTTGATTTTGAGTCATTTCTTTATTTTAATAAATTTATTCTTGTTTTTCATAAGATCTATCAATTTAAGACAATCCTTTTTATTATTATAATAAGAACTATTAGTTGTAGTTCTTATTTATTCATAATATGGTACAAATTAAGACTAATAATTAGTCAAAGACAATTAAGAATTTGATCGGAAATGAAATTTAATTTTTGATTTATTTATTTCTTCATTTAAAATATTTAATGGTTTAAAATTATTATCTTTTTTGATAATCACTTGTTTTTCTAAATCTATGTATATAAATTATTACATTCTACATTCTTCAACATCTTCTCTAAGTATTATTAAATCTAACTTTTTCTTGGTCCTTTTTAATATGATTAATAGAATGGATTTTATTAAGATTCATTCAATAATATTTCCTCATCTTAACTATTCTATAATATATTTTATGATTTGCATGAACATGCTTCAACTGTTTTCTACAATGCTTTTGATCTTGCTAATCTCTTTAATTCTATTTAAGTTTCTTTACTCTTTTATATTTATTACTACTCAGATAATTATTATATTTCATGATTTGACAATCCTACATTTAAGAATGATTCTTACCTTGATTATCAATTTATATACGTGATTTAGGTCTAGCTGGAGATGGATCAAAAGGTCTTAGTTCTTTTGGATTACTTGAAGTTTGTTGAGTGTGAATTGCATGAGAAATCTCATTTATTTAACTTTTTGAGGATTCATGGGAATGCTTGAATGGATATTGATATAATAGATAATTATTTCGTTCTTTCAAAAAGTAAAAAGTACTTGATTGGTTATTTCATAGGTTAAAGATTTGGTAATAAATGAACTGATTGTAGAACTGCAGGTCTTCTTATAATAGTTAAATTTCTGGCTGCTTTAAGAAGATACATTTTCTTTTTCCACTTTTTTATAGCCTCTAATTTATAGAGAAGAATGAAAATAATAGCATTTCCAATAGCTTTGAATCTTTTTAAGACTCTTTTCTTTTTCTAATAACTAATATAATAGAAAGAATTATTACCGAGTTTCTTTGAGAGGTAATTCTCCATGAATCTTTAATTAAAATCCTATAGGTTTACCACAATTTGAACATTCACAAGATAGATTACATCTGTTTAATTCCAATTATAATTTTTGATTGGTTTTAATACAAATTGATCTTCTCTTTTTAAATGAAGTTTTAATGACCATGATTGATTTTGCATGTTTTAATTCATGATAATCTGGTGGAGATAAAGACCTCTCTGACATAAAATAATATGATATAATAAATTCATGGAAATTTAATTAAGGATTAATAATCTGATTTCTTTGGAATTGGTTTGACTTGAAATTCTTAAAAGTATTACTTATAATATTTTTAATTATTTACATGATTAAGTGCCTATTTAGCACTAATTCTTTGAGTAGGATCTAATTTAAGCATTCTAGTCAATAAATCAATAGCTAATTAATCTACATCTCTATTTAATAATTATTTAAATCCTTAAGGACTCCAATTAGGAAATGTAGTTTTGTAATCCTTCAAATTAGTTACACCCTAGATAAATAGAATTTATAATAATACTGGCCATGTATTTTCATTTGGAGTACCTAGAATTCTAAAAATTCTAAATAATTAATCAATTTCAGAATCTCCTGTGAAAAGTGCTTTTTTTGTAATTAATTCATAAAAGATGCATCCAACTGACCATATATCTACTGGAGTACTATATTCAACAGCTCCCAATAATACTTCAGGTGCTCTATACCATAAAGTTACAACTTCATGTGTATAAGGTCTTATTGGAACTTAGAAAGGTCTAGCTAAACCAAAATCAGCTATTTTTGTATTGCCTACAATGATTTGAATTTGGAATACCTTATTTATCAATTAATATATTTTAGGGTTTAAGATCTCTATGTAAAATTCTTCTTTGATGACATGCTTGAATTCCTTTCAATATTTAATGGATTATTTTTTTAATGGTAATTTTATCGAGAGATTGATCTTTTGGAGAACTATCCAAAAGTGCTTTAAGGTCTCTTTCCATATATTCAAAGACTAGTTAAAGTTTCTTATTTCTAATAACTACGTCCTTTAATTAAACGATATGTGGATTGTTGAGCTCTCTGAGTAAACTAATCTCTCTAATGGCAGTTGAAGGCACACCTTCTTGCTCTAACTAATGATTTGGCGGATTTTCAATACTTCTTAGGTCATTTTTTTAACAGCTACAATTTATCCATTTAATTTATCCAATGCTTTATACACAACTCCATAGGTTCCACTCCCAATTTTTTCTAGTTTTTCATATCTCTCTGCATCACTTTCACCAAATTCAGGTAACATTGAAATTCAAATTAATTTGAATTAATAAATAATAATAATATATTTATATAAAAACTGTTGTATTATCACTTTTTAATTCCATTAAATATAAATTTTCCAATATCTTATTAATCAAGATCCTTAATTCTTAATTATTTAAATCATTACCTTTTTTACATCATATCTTAAAACTATCTTTTATTAATCTTAATCTTCTTCCATAATATTTGAAACCAAACAGGTTCAAATAAATCTATAATTTATTATCTTAATTATTGTAAATTGACTTCATGATCTATGTAACCATCTTTATCATTATCAAGCATAGCAAATATCTCATTAATTTTTTATTCCTAATAACTTTAAACTAAAAATGTTGTTTACTATTTTTGCATATGTATTATTTTATTGTTTGATATAAATTTCATAATTTCTCTAACTCTTTTGAGGTGTTGAAATACATTATAATTTATTCATCAAATCCTTAAAACTCTTTATTCTATCTTACTTAGATTGATGTTCTATCCTACTATTACATAAAGTTCCATTACTAACCATAGACTAAATAATTAGAATAAAATTATATACTGATTAAATACTCTAATCTATTTATTATTATGAAAAACTAATTTCTTATGGAGAAATATTTCTAGAATTAGATTATTTTGATTTCTCCATACTTATTCTACCCTTTGGTAAAGTTTATAGAGTATTTTATTCTGTTTTTTCTGGAGAATAAATAGGACTTTATTAAGCACTAATAAATTGATTTGGTCTATTTCTGAGACCATAATTTGAATGAAAACTATCCTTAGAATTATCATTTGCTCTTTTCATATATTCTTAATAAGGTATTCCAACTCTTCTATTAGGGGATTTACTTGGTGATTTATTTTTTAATCTATTCATTATTTTCTAATTCAATTTATCTTATTTTTGAAGATTTTCAATTTAATTAATTGAATTATTCTTAACATAATTATCTATACGACTACTTCCTATAGAAATGGATTAATTTTTTTCAGGATTCAACATTTCTTATAATTTGTTTTTAAAAGAAAATTAGAATTAATCCTAAAGGTTTGATGTGTTATCTTCATTATTGTCTTTGTCAAATGAAAAATTAAAGTTTTCATCCTTATTTCTTGTTGATTCTTATTATTTTGTAATTTGAATGCAATCATTTCGAATTTATATAGAAGTGTCCACAATTTTAATACTCTCTCTAATACTTGCATTATTTATGAATTTATCAAAGTGCAATCTTATTTATGTCTTTGTAGTATTGTCTATACTAGAAGAATCCAAAAGCATAGACACAAAGGAGATTATTTATTTTGAAAGTGGTGATATAAAATTGAATTCCAAATTCTGTTAAGTGCAGAACCTATATGCTATTTACAAAGGTGTATCAAATGCAAAAATCTATTTAATATATATATAATTCTTACTTCTACTTAATATATCTAATTTTAATACTTGATAGGCACTGATAAAATGCTGTTTTTTTTCATATGACAGTTAAATTAATTAATGTAATAAGTTAATGCACCTTCACAATATCCAAATATACCTATTGCAAATCTAACTCCAACCAATAAAACTAATCCTTCTCAATCTCCTCATCAACGAATACTCTTTTAATCATCATCCCCTATCTAAGATAACAATAGCTATACACCTGTTAAACAATTAGGCGAATTGGAATTACTCTATTAAAAAATCAATTTGCTTCAAAATGAAAATAAAATGCTTAAAGTTCAATTGGAAAATGCCAATCTTAAAATCCAATAATAATCTACTAAAATTAATTCCTATAATAGTTAAGCAATATTCAAGACCACTACTTTCGAATTAGTAGTACTATAAAAAGCATTAGAACAATTAGAATAGTTGAAAACAGCCTTACAGAAAAGAAAAACAAGTCCTCATCATAATAATTAAACTCTACCTACTGAGGAATCAGCTGAAGTCATTAGTGAATTAAAGAGTAAAGTTACATTCTTAGAATAAAAGAATATTAAATTAACAAAGGAGAATTCAGAATTATAAGTAAACAATTTATCCTTTATTTGTAGCATAACATTTTATTCCCTGTCTAATCTGAAACTAAAGAATTTGCAAGATAAGGTAGAAAACAATTATTTTCTGATCCAAGTGAAATCAGGAAAGTTAATAGGAACAGTCCTATTAGATTTGTCAATTCAAAAGGAAGTCAAAGTAATCCATATAGATCACCCAAACATATAGAGTGAAAATTTATGTATACTTTATTAATATTTGCATTAAATATATAAATTAATTAAATCATTTAATTAAAATTCGATAAACCAATTATGGATTCAACTAAAGAAAGAGTAGAAGGAACAAGAGCCACAGTTATCGAAATCATTGGAAGAACAGGTATTAATTAATTATTTATTGTGCAGGTTCCAGAGGTGGTATTACATAAGTTAAAGTTCAATTGGTTGGCCAATAAAGAACCCTCATTAGAAATGTTATGGGACCAGTCAGAAAAGGTGATACTCTAGAACTCATGGAATGTGAAAGAGAAGCCAGAAGATTAAGATGAAATAAGTACATTACATATACAATTTGCCATATATTTAATTATTTTTAATGCAAATTACAAATATTATTTAATAAAATTTATATTTAAATATACTATTTTCATTATTATAGATGAATAACTCTCAAAAGTCTTCCATTTTTAATAATAAATTAATAATCAATATACAAATATATAATAAATAAGATTTAAATTATAAGTAATACAGAAGTCTCTAATTATTTATAATTGAATTTTAAAAAAAAATAGTATAAGTAAAACTTTTTAATATGATACTTTCACAAATAGTACTCAGAATAAACTTGAATTTTTATCATGAATAAATTATTAATATGATATCAAAAAAAACGATATTATTTATTATACTTTTATATTATTAATTTGACACTATCTTCTTTATGGATTTAAGAAGCTAGTGTTCTTGGTTTTTGGGAATAATCAATAATATCAAAAAAATGATATATTTAAAATAAATTATCCAATAAAGTTAATTATTATCTTTTTGTTTAAATTCAGCATGTGCAATTATAATAGTCAGTTTACATAGATAGACGAGACAATAATTTATGAAAATGAATTTTTTTTACAAAGAACTATCTCATTTTCAGGTTCTTTGGATTAAACTCAGAAAAACATTTTTATAATGATAAAATCAACTTCAAAATAAATGTCTAATTAGTTGATTAATAATGATACAATTAAGTTTTTAATTTTAAATTGCATTCTCTTGTCTCATTTCTATGGTTATCTATCTCAAACATTAGAATTAATGATTAAGTGATCAAAAATTGAAAGCTATTAACAATATGAACAAATGATTAGATCTTTTCTAAAAGAGATTCAAATATATTATAAGAGTTTATTTAAATTGAAAGATTAAGCTTAATTAACCCTCTTGATTTTTCACTTTAAGTATTCAATATTAAGTTATTACAGATTACATCAATACTGCTGATGATATAACAATTTTCTTTACTTAAAATTATAAAACTGTTATTAATTTACTTTTAATTGGATATCAAGCAGTTAATGGAACTTCAGAAAGTCTTTATACTGAAAGATACATTTAGTCATGAGCATTTGAATCGCTAGTTAAGATTAATTAAGTGGGTCTTATCTGTGGTGTTTCTGTAAGGGATAATGATTGAATAATTTAGGGCTTCATCTTTAAAAATGTTTGTGTAATAGGTCAATACCTAAGGAGCATAGACAAAGAGGAGATACATGTAAAATCCATTAATTAGAGATTGAATTCACATCAAATATATTTTGTATCTTATATTATTCATATTTGTTTAATTTTTGTTTATGAATTCAGTATTCATTAATTTTTATTCTTATTTAAAATACAATAAAATATTCTTCTCTAAAAACTAGAATAATTAGAAATGTAATTATGTATATTCACATATAACAATAAATATCTACTCTAAGAATTGTTTATCTAGGAAATAAATAAATACTCATGCAAATGTATTACAAAAACAAAGGTTAAATTAGAATTTATAAATTTTAATCTAGTAACTCTAACAAAAGTTATATACAATATTAAAATTGATATAATAATTGTCTAATTCTATTGAAAATATACTTCAAATTGAATTTAAAATGGCAATTAAAAAATAGAACTAGAAAGTAATAAAGTTACAATTACTGAATTAATGTTTATCTATAACAACTATATTAATTAATCATGTAGTAATTTAAATTTTAATAGTTAGTGTTCAATTATGAAATTATAAAGTAATTAGAATGTATAATGTATTTAAAATAAGAATAATACATAAATATTTCTTTATAATTTAAATTGTTTAACTTTTTTAAGAATTTAGTTGAAATATTATGTTGAAATACTTATGTTATCATATAATTTTAATAAATTACATATTTGTTTTTTTTTAAACACTTTATGTTTGTTAAATCTATTAATAAATGAATAACAGGATTTCTAATATTTATATATCTAAATTAGTAAATCTATTAAAAATCTATATGTTCTTTGTAAAACTAAAAATATGTATTGTAGATTTTGTAAATGCGTATTTAAATTATACATATTTGAAGGGGGTGAGTGTTTAATAAAAAATAAATTTAATATGTATTATTTTTTTATGTTTTAAGTCAGGATATTGATAATTGTGTTTCAAATACTTTTTTTTTTTAATTAAAATGAACCTTTCAGCTGTCAGATCAATCATTTCATTCTTATCATTAAATGCTTTGCTCTAAATATATGAGAATCAACCAGTGGAATTCTGGGACTCAAATCAAATGATGTCACATCCTAAACTTACTCCTATATTTTAATCAAATTAGGTAATTATAAACACTATTTTAGTATATTAATTTATTAGTTGGTCTTGCTTCACTTGCTTTACTAGATAAGAACAATAAATTATATATGAGTAACAGTGTTTTAGTAGGAACATCAATCATCATATAAAATTTGAAGTAATATATTATAATAATCTCTAGTTTATCTATGCCTAAAACAATGAATATGATAACAATTTACTTTTAACTTATAATATTAATAGTTCAGCTATTTTAATTGCTGTCCTTTTATTTAGAGAAAATTCCACCCACCATGCCCAAAATTAAATAAGATATTATGAAAGAATAAAAGTAAACCAGAAAGCCAAATCAGAGAAAGATGGTTTCAAATAAAAAAAAAGAGAAATTATTGCAAAAACCATAAGAATCTGAACAAATTTAATAGATTGAAGGAATAGAGCAAGAATAATAAGATAAATCAGAAGTTGAATCTATTGAAAATGACTTCAATGAATTCATGAAACCATAATCTACTGATTAAACTGTAACAGAAATAGAAACTGAAAATCTTTACGAAATCAATCATGCTGATCTCTCATAAATATCTTAAACAAAAGAAGATTCAAGTATTACTTAATATAATCTCTAGAATTAACTTTCTAATTGAAGTTCAATGGAGAAGTTTCTACTTTAAATTGTACTTTTGATACATTCGATTCTGCAATGAGCATTCTCAACTCAACACATACACCAGAATAAATTAAACAAATCAAAATACATTTGTTACTCAATCTCTATGATGAAAATGAAGACTGTACTTGTAGACTCTGGTGTTTAAAGAAGCTTCTAGCACTTAATTGATTATAGAATTCTATGAAATTTGCTCTTTGTGTGATTTATTATTATTAAGTTAAATCATTAATTCACTATTTATAGTAATAACTTTGATAAACAATATTAAAAAATATAACTTATCTTTTTTTGAACAAAAACTAGTTGACTCCATTTTTTAATTCAAGAGACCTATAAATTTATATCTCTTCTAGTGGATTTATATATATATCAATAAGATAACTATAATATAGATATAAAATACATAATCTCATTTCATCTAAATGTCTTATATCATTTAATTACTAATGATTTTTTAAAGCTGATAATCATATTCATTTATATTTCAAATAAATTGGAAATATGAAGTGCATAGTCTACTATCTTTAACAATAATGATTAATATAAAGTTTAATATAATTAATATTTGTAATAAAAGTGAATGTAAATGAAAATTTGTAAATTATCAAATTCTTCTCTCTTTTCTATCGTAATTTCCAAATTGTTTATTTATTAAACCACCAGAGCTGCAATCTAAAAATAAGTTAATAATTACATTTTTATATATTTTAATCTGACGGTTATCTTCTTTAAATTTCATTTATTTCATATCTATCATTTCCTAGTTATCTTTTTAAATGATTAAATCTATCATAACATTAATATTATTCTTTATCATTTATTGGTGATTTTTAATAATTTATTTTGCTATTTATAACTCTATCTACCATTTTATTTTATTTTTTCTCTCTTTCAATATATTTGCTTAATGCTGTTCCTTAAAGTATGTCATCAATAGCTTTATTATTGATATTATTTCTTTTATTTCCTTTTTCTATTCCATAACCATCATTACTAGATGATTCTTCATGATAACTATGTCTCTATCCATAACGATATTATTCTCTTTAATAATATTTTTATCCTAAATATTCTCTAGATCCAGCAATTTTTGTTTAAATGGGTTCTGGTTTAAATCTATTATTAAAAATTCTTCTTTTATCAAATTCTGACATTTAAGGTTCCATTTCTGGTTTCAAATATCCATACTTTTTTTCCAACTCTGCTTTAATTTAATTTATTTCAGGTTAATATTGTGATCTCTTAAACTCTATTTTCTCTTAATGTTATTCATTCTTTTTAAGATCATACTATTAACCAATAGAGGAATTTTTGGGTTCAATTGATTATTTTAAATCATAAATTTTAGTTTCCTATTTATAAGCCTAATATATTTAACCATCTTAGTATTTCTTTTTATTACCATGATCAAATTACTGTAATTTATCATATAAATTAAGCCTTCTTTAAATTTCTTAAGATTAATCATATTCTTTTCTAGCTTAGTATTGTTATTTTGAATTATAATTTAATTTGTCTTTATGAAGTAATTTATCATAGGATTCGTTAGACATACTTCCTTAATATTTTAAATCAAATGTATCTTCATTTAATGATTTATTTTAATAATAAGATCTATCGTTATATTTATTTTTATCATGTAAATCTAATTCTTATTTTTAACTAAAATGATATTTTCCATAATCTGATATTTATTAGTATTTAGAATCAGTATTAATTCGTTTTTAAAAAGAAGATTTTTCATCATTATAATTATTTTTCCTATCAATTATTTTAAATTTCTCATCTAATTATGTATATTTAAATTAATCTAATTCAAGTATTTCTTTATTTTTTTATTTATTATCAATTTCTCTTTCATATTGTTTTTTCACTTCATTTAAATTACATTATCTATATTCTTATTTACATTAATCTTTTAATCTATTTTATACTTCATTTCTAAGTTATTCTTAAAATTATTTCATTTTTATTTAACTATTCTCTAATCCTTATTATCTTTATGAATATTCTTATGATTTTGAATACTAATTAAGTCTTATTTCTTATTATCCTGCTATTTTCTCTACTTATTCTCTTCTTTATTATAATCTTTTTTCAATATCTAAAAAACTTGACTATTCTTATCCTTGCTTTTAATCTGTTTTATCGATTTAATCACGTAAATTATTTTTATTATTTGTTGTTTCAGGATACATTCTCTAATATTCTGGTAATTTAAAATCTCTTTTTAAACTTGAATATTAGTATTCACTTTTAAATGTATTTTAATTTTATCTGTCTTATGGTGTATTTACATTAAAATTAGTTTTTGGATCCATAGGAGTTCTATTACCAAAAGGTAATCCACTTTATTTTAATAAATATTTATCAGATGAATGAGCTATCTATTATTATTCTATTCTCTATCTATCTTCTGTTTTAAAATGTATTTTATCATCTTTAGATTAATAAATAGCTGTTTATGGTCTTGCTTATTCATAATAATATGATTCCTTAAGTTTTGAATTATAATTATTTAATTCTTTATCTATTTAACTATTAACAACTTATTAGTATGATTGCTAATTAAACTTTGTTTCCACATTTTATTTTTATCTTTCATAACTACCAAATTCTTTTTTGTTTATATCATCAATTTGTCTCCAATTTTCTTTTTTCAAATATTGATTATCTCCTAAAGATCCTAATTTTGATGTTTAATAATCCTACTATCTATTAATTATTTAATTGGTTCTCAAAACTCTATCTTCCATCTAATTTTTATTTGAATTCTTTTATGAATCTGTTAAATTAAATTTGCTGTTAGTAATAAACCTAACAAATATTTCAATTAATAAATATTAATCATAGATATATATATATATATATAGTTCTATTAAATCAAAAATATCTTTTCTTTTATTATTTATATATCTATATTTAATGATTGGATCTATAAAATAATTCAAAATAGAACATCTTTAATATAGACATAATTATTTTATTTATTTTTTATTAGATAATCTGATAATCATTCATGATAACTTATTCTAATATTCCCCCCAGATCTATTACTCCAAGAACTTCTTATATACCAGTTGTAAATCATTCACAATATATTAAGCCTACACCACAAATGTATTCATAAAAGATTATTCCAATTTAACCAAAATAAATTGTACCAACTACAGAAATCATTCGCATTCTTCCAACTGAACCCTAATAATCATAATAACCATAATAAGATCAAAATTAATTTAATGGATTATCATTATCTGAACTTAAAGTATTTCTAGAAGATTTAATGAATCGTTATGATAAATTAGCTTAAGATTTATAAAAAGCAGCTCAAAAGGAAATTTAATTATAAAATTAACTAACTATTGCTTAAACAGAATTAAATAATAAATTACTATAGTTTTAATAAGAAAGAGAATCATATATGTAAACCATTAATAATAAGGACTAAGAAATTGATTTTTTGAATTCATAAATAGATTAAATAAAAGATTAACATTTTAATGAAATATAGGAATTGAAAACAAATAATGAGCATATTGCTTTAGTTTTAACTGATAAGTTAGATTAAATGAATTAATTTTCTAAAGAAAAAATTATAGAATTAGATTAAATTAAGAGTCTACTTGTTCTTAAAGAATAAGAGGTACAGGAATGGAGAGCAAGAAAAAATAATGGTGATGTTTATTCACAAGAAATTAATTAATTGAAATAGAAAATCTATTAATTATAATAAGAAAAAGATTAATTAATGGATAGATTTAGATATTCTTAACAAGATTCTTAATTAGTCAATGAAAATTAAATGTTGAAAGCCTAATTACAAGAGAAGGAATCTGAAATTAATACTATAAGATTGAAAGTATATTATTTATGATATACAGCTGAAATATGGTTAAACATATAATAATGATCAATAATTATAATAAGAATTAGAATAAGCCAAATAAGAGATAATGTATTATAAGCAATAATTAATGAATCCTGGTTAACCTAATAATATAGAGGAAATTGAAGATTATAAGGATAAGATTCAAATATTAGAAAATGAAATTAGAAGATTAAATAAATAAGTAAAATATTGATAATCTTATATTTTAGTTAACAGAGATGAGACATGAATTGGAGGATTATAAAAATCATAAATCTGATAATGAATTTCTGAAATCTAAATTATCAGATTAATAAAATCAAATTAGAGAGATATCAAAATCTTAATTAGGGTATAAAGATAGGATTCCCCAATATTATTGATATTTTATTTTTAAACTTTTACACTAAATTATAATATTTATTATCAAGATCAATAATATATTATTAATAATGAATTGCAATATAGAATTTAAAATGACTATTAAAAATAATCAATAATTATCTAAAAATTCAATTATTTATTTTAAAAGATACATATAGATCTTTATATATTTCATAAATATTTTAAATGATATTCAAAATAAATGTGTATTAATTTAATACAAATATCCTTTAATATTATGAATTATCATTTACCCAATTTAATTCTAGTTTTCTTTTTAAATAATGATTATATATTAATCTATAATAAATTTTGATATGACTTATATTAATTTAGAGAAAATCTTTAAATTGTATATATATATATAAAATTTTATTTTGAAATTAATGTTTGGAATTCCTTTTCCAGGAGCTTTTGGTCATTTTGCTTATCATGATGATGAATTCGAAGATGAATTTGATGAATAACTTTAACCCCAAGATGTAGATAATAAAGAACTATATGATATATTAGAAATTCCTCCTTAATCAGATATTCCTTCTGTTAAATAAGCTTATAAAACATTAGCTAAAAAATATCATCCTGATAGACCTGGAGGAGATTAATAAAAATTCTAAATGCTCTAAAAGGCAAATGAAGTGTTATCTGATCCTGAAAAAAAGAAAATTTATGACAAATTTGGAAAATAAGGATTACTTAAATAGATGAATGTCAAGAATCAATAATTTAAAAAATGTGAACCTTATAAACTAAATCATAAAATCACTCTTAAGGATGTAGCCTTAGGGGCATATCATAAAAAGATTTTAAATGATATTACAAGATCTTGTGAAGAATGCTAAGGATAAGGAGGCAAGTAATCTATTACCTGTCCATCATGTAAAGGACATAAAATAGTGTAAATGGTAGTGGAAGTATAACCTGGAATAAATATGATATAATAAGCACCTTGTCCTGATTGCAAAGGGTATAAATCTATTATAGAATCATTCTTAGAAAGGGAAAGGCTATTTCAAAGGAAGATGAATGCAAGTCATGCAAAGGATTAGGAAATGTTGAGGGAGTAGTCGAGATTGAAATACCAATTGAAAAGGGAGTTCCTGATGGTTATTGTGTGAAATTATATGGAAAAGGCAATTCTAGAGTATTTTAATCTAAATATATTAGCCTGGATATGAAACAGGAGATGTTCATGCTTATCTTGAAATAGAATAGCACCCAAAATTTATTAGAAAAGGAACTGATTTATTTTATTAACATACAATATCTTTGAAGGAAGCATTAGTTGGTGTTAATATTGAATTAGAAACCTTAGATGAAAAAGTGATTAATATAACAACAGACAAAGTAATAAAGCCAAATCAAATATTAACAATAAAAGAGAAAGGTTTACCTACTTTTAAGGATGAACTTCATTTTGGGGATTTACATGTTTAATTTTATATAGAATTTCCTAAAGAATTAGATCAAGATGTTACTAAGAAATTAGCAGAAGTATTTATAAATATTATTATTTATAGATTTTACCAGGTCCGTCATTTACACCTAAATAAAATAGTATAAAGTTAGAATAGTTTAAATTTGAAGATTTTGAGAAGCATTAAGCAAGAATAGAAGATAATGAAGATGATGAATTTAATCAAAATGGAATTGATTGTTCAATATTTTGAATTTTTGTTTTATTATATAAAAATTATGAATCAAAATTAAAGGAAATTCGTTAGATGTTTCAATTGTAATATCAAACCTGCAACTATTAAATGTTTTGATTGTAATGAAAATGAGCCAATAAAATTATGTTATCATTGTGATTCTGCCTTACATATTGAATAAGATCATTAAAAATAGATTATTCCTTATGATCAGATGGTTATAAATGAAGAAAGAACAAAATCAGTAACTCCAGAGAAATAACAAGAAACTACTCCTCATTTGAGTTCTATATTAAAATCTAGAATTAAAAAAAATGAAGAAAATGCTAATTATTTAAATAATAATGAAGAATAATTAAATAATAATTAAATTAAGTCTATAGAACTAAAATTCAAAATTAAATTACAAGAATAAGAGAATACAATTAATTTATTGAAATAACATATAGAGAATATTGAAAATAAACATAAAGAAAACTTATCAAAGATGAGAGATTAATTAATTAAAGCCTAAGATGAAATATTTAAAAAATAAGAAGAATAAATTCATGAAATTAATAAATTAAGAAAATCTTATGATGATAAAATAGCTCAATATATATCTTAAGTTGATAGTGAAACTTAATTTAATAATTCCCTATAATCAAAATTAGATGAATTAAGGTATTTATTATTTTATATTTTATAAGAAATGTTCATTAAATTAAATAATAAGAATCATAATAAACAATTTCATTATTAAGAGCTGAAATTGAAAGAAGAAAATTTTAAGAAGAGTAAATTTTGATAGATGCTGAAAATTAATAAATTAAATAAAAAAAAGAAATTCAATAAGAATTTGAAAAAAATATTACAATTATTAGAAATGATTGTAATTTATAACTAGATGAATATAAATAAAAATTAACAGGAAAAGTAGAATAAATTTAATCTTTATAACAATAAATTTAACAATTATAAAATACACTTAAAGAAATTGAAATTGTATGGTAAAAGAAATTATAATATGAATAATAATAATATGAGGAATTAAAGTATTAAATTTTATTAATTTTAGAAATAAATACACACAAAATAAAGATGAATGTGAAAATCTTAAAAAAGAATTAAAGAATCTTTAATCAGAGATTTCTATATATTAAAAAGAAAATGAATTGTTTTAAAAAGAGAAATTATCATTAACAAAATAATTAAATCAATAAATGGAAAAAAATGAGAAAATGGATAGATTCATATATGGATCAAAGAAATCATAAACAAAAATCAAAATCTGAATTAACATCTTTGTTTTTATAATAAAAGAATTTAAATATTATAAATATTAAATTCTGTAATTCAACCACCATGTAATGTAGAAATGAAACTAACTCTATCATTATGTTATAATTATGCTTCTTCTTTATCCTCTAATTCCCAATCTGCATCATTTATTAATACTAGTATGCCTGGTCGTAATTATTAAGTATAGAAAAAGTCTAATTTCTATGGATTACAAAGTGTTTTCAATCTTATTATAAGATCTGACATTTTAATCTATTATTCTTCAAATTCTAAAGTAAGTTCCTTTTTATTTTCAAAACAAACATCCAATCCACCACCAAAATCAATTATTATTTTCATTTTATTAATTAAATATTAATAATGTTTTAACTGAATAATAACGAAAAATAGATTGATTTTAGAAAATATTAAATGGAACCTATTGATCATATCTATCTATCATTCAGTCCAAAATAAGAAGAATAAAATACACTCAATCTAAAAACAGAAGAAATGTCAATCCCAAATATACAATCTTTTTTTACTGATCGAACTAGTATTTTTGATTAGAAATTTGGATATTTTTAAG